TTCCCGGCGAAGGGGAGCGGGGGGCCTCGGGGGTGCGATTAAAAAACAAACCCCTCCTGCACGAGCGGTACAGGATTGGCGGCTTTTTGCCCCGTAGGACAAGCTCAGCGGGGCCGCCCAGGGCAGCACGCCTCTGTCTTCTTATCGTGCTGTGCTCGACTTACGCTCAACGTTTAGTTCACAGTTATCTTTACATTAAAAAAGTAAAGAAAGTAACCACGTGGAGGGTTCTCTTTGGTTTAACCCTATGTTTTTTCTCCACCAGCCCTCGATCTGGCCACCAGGAACACACCCCACCCGTGCTGGCCGTTCCGGCGCTGGGTGCATAGCACTAGCCCTTTAACTGGAGTTAAAGGTGGCTAAACTGCTGGGTGGGTTCCCCCCCTCCTCCAAGTAATGCTTTTATTTTCTTCACCTGAGACAGCCGAGTTACTGGGCGCTGAATTAAGCACAGGGCAATCTAGCACCGTGTGGATGACGACCACGGAGCCTCGATAGGGAGCTGCGCACAAGCAGGGAGCCAGCATCGAAGTCCTGCCCAGAAGCAAACGCCTGGCTTTGGGAGCCCTTTGCCGTCAAGGCTCTTTGCTGCAAACCCTTGCAAGGCCAACCCTACACTTCATGGCAACCCAAGTAAGCACCTCAGGATTGCAGTACTCAGAAAATCCTAGGTTTAGTAATGAATTCCAAACAAGCTACATAGAAGCTGGCTGTACTCTATCAAGAAATAATTGTTTTCTTCATACTACAGATAAGAAAAATGCATGATTTATGGATAAAAGAAACAGAGTCCTACAGCACTTACAGTTTTTTTATTTCAGGAACAGGAACAGCAAAACAAATCACTGTATTAGGAAAGCTATTTCAGCTATGTCTTTGGTATTACACAGTTAAACTGTTTCAGAAACTACAAATAAGAAAAATATATAACAGTAGCAAAAAATTAAAGCTTTGTCATTTAAATATTGCAGAGGCACCATATGCTTTTTCATTACATTCTTTGTTAAATGACTAATAAACTCAGTGATAGGTAATAAACCCAGGTATCCTGTGATGATAAAACAGTGATCCTCACCCCCCGAATATCCTATAAGGACGTTTGGTACAAAGACATACTTTTATTCCCATTCTTGCCTAAGTGCTTGTCCAGTTATTACCCAAAAAAACCTGTCTAGTCAGGATGCTTAGCAACACTTGGAACAGGCTGCCAAAGACTCCTTTCATCTCTAAGGAATGTATCAAGACATTAAATGGATGAGTCCGGAAGAAAAAAGAGGGGGGGCAGGAGGAAAAAGGGGGAAGGGAGCTAAAGATGTGCTCCAGCCTCGTCAGAAACAAAATTAACTTCTTCCCTTCCTATGAGATGTCACTGGCTGATCTGCTGCCTGGTGGCCCTGAAAAGTGAAGCGCAATGGGGACTACAAGGACAGCCGAAGCGTTCACTGAGCAAGTGGGACATTTCTTGTGTCAGCAGAAGTCAGAGACCTCTGCACTCAGGTGCACAGGGCAAGGGAGTTGTTGTAAGTGGCAGTTGCCATGTATGTCTAAGTGGCTCTGTTCTATTCAAGCCTGCGATGAAGACCACAGAAGTGGATTCAGGCACAGCTGAAAGAGGCAATTAGTGCAAAAAAAGTAGCCCTATTCTAAAGAAACAGAACATGTGTAAATGCGGCTCTTCTGCCAAGACATCTCCTTTTTAGGGAGAGCAAAATCTGCCACAGAACAAAATGCTGGAAGTTTTGTTGTGCCGGATGAAGAAGAGGAAGGGATGATCAGCAGTGAATTCTGGAACGATCATTGCACAGCGCAGCACCATCATTCCTGCCGTGGCAGCTGCCGCTTCAGTGCCTTCTTCGTTGACTTCCACAAAGGACTTGTGAACTACTTCAGAGAGCACCAGCTCGTTGCCAGCCGAGATTCCCGAGAAGTCTGCCTTCCCTAACTCAAATGCATCAGGCATTCCCATGCTGCTCAGAAGGGGTTTCAGATCATAATCTTCTTCCAGTTTAAATCTGGGTAAAGACACCCTCACCTCTGTACAGTCCATCATTTCAGGATTGATCCAATCTATTAGCTTCTCATACGTAAGTTCACTTTCCAGCTAAAGAAAAACCCAAGTTACGTAATTAAAATGAGAAGAGAGTCAGTTTTACACAGCCAAAAGTGGCGATTACTGTGTTTGTTTACATAGTGCATAATATGCATCTTTTTTTCCAGGGTTTAGAGGGTCTCAAGCCAGAAGTGCAAGTTATAAGTCTCACTAGAGACTACGGCCCCAGCTGAGATCAATCCCATATGCTTTTTGGTAGATACAAGAAGGATCAGTCCCTTCCACGTGAAGTTTACTTTTATAAAAGTAAACTTCATAAAAATGTTAGGTTGAGGTTTTTTACATTTTTACATATGGGAAGCAAAGGCACAGAAGAACTGATGACAAGGTCCCAAAGGAACTGAACCCAGTTGTTCTGTCTCTTAACCACAGGATCTTCCTTCAGGTTGACGGGCTGATGAAAAAGTCTGCTCACAATGCCCTTTGCAGTCAGTGATAGAAAGCCTTATTAATAAATTTCTTGTCCAGAGCACGAAATAGCCAAAAATTCCATCATATCTCCACAACAGAAGAGATCCTACACTTTCCTGTGAGCCTGTTTCCGGGTGGCGGGCCAGAGACAATCTGCCACCTGTTCAGCATGGAAGATCTACGGGACAAGCTGTAGGACTTCCCAAGAGCTCCCCCAGATCCCCTCTCACCATACTACACCTTCACCATAACCACAGCCAACCTCTGCTCCTGAGGAGGGTCGGGTCTTCTTCCAGAGCCTCTGGCTAAGGGGGCAGCGCACAGCTTGACCATACAAGGCATGCCAATCACTTTGGGGGCAGGGAGATGTGGGACATTTCAGCTGATGTTGAGCATCAATGACATAATAGCTTTGGAACTGAACTGCAGGTCTATATGCAACATCAAACTCTCTTCCCTGGAAGGATGCAGACTGCCTTTGCATTTAGCTCAAAAACTTACTCTTTCCAAGCCAGTGGATCCATCCTGGATTGCATCAGGGAGCAGGATGATCATGCTGAGTTCATTACCGACATAAGGGAGCTCAAGGATTTTGGTCTGGAAGTCCCCAATATAGGTCATGTTAAATCTGTCCTTCTTGAACATCATCTGCACAGGTTTGGTCTCTTCCTAAAAATAAAGGGATGTCAACAGTTAGTACTGAGCTAGTCTGCTGGTCTCAAAATCCGAAGCAGGCATCCAGTTATTCAGGGCTTTTTAGAATTTGACTAAAGAGAACTAAACACACCACAGCGTACAGCCCCACCACTGTCTTCTGTAAAGCAAGAGATAGGAAGTAAGGATCCCTGAGATTTAATTTTTAATTACTAGTGTGGAAATGTCTGTGAAGTTTCCTTTAAGGCAAAGAGGCAAGGACACAAAAATTTGCTCCCTTAAGAACTAGTGACAAGCACTAAACAGGGCTGGTAAGAAGCAGGGCCTGTGTACCTTGCTTTAAATGAGCAGAAAATAATTTCAATGTAGGTATTTTCATTTTTAATCCATGTGGCTCCAAGTGCTATAACAAAGAGGAATTAAAATATTTTAAAATGATACTAAAAATGCCAAGGAAGTTAGAGCATTATTTTGAATTCTTAAGAGTCACATGGATAGTAAGGAGAGGAAAGATTTTTCTTCTCAATTTCATTCTCTGCTACCTCCTTCCATTTTCACATGGAGCATCAGCTACTATTGTTTACATCATTATTTCCTCCTTTTCAGTTAAGAGTTTCATTGCATCGTCCCTTAACCTTCATGAGTTAACCATGCAAGTAGTTTTTTGTTTTTAAAATAAAGCCCATTGAAACAATGCCCACAGAGAATATGGCAGAAATTATTTTGCAGCAGCAATGACACATGAAAAGGATGGATAAGTGAAGAAAAGGCCACACAGCATGTGAAAATCATCCAGCGAGTCATAAGAAGTGCAAGAGTCACAGAAATAATGTCACAAGATGCTGGAAAGGCTCCTGGGATGTTAAAGTACATCTTTGCTACTGGACCTTTGCTATTACACCTGGGATTTCCAATTGCTCATTTGATCCTACGCACAGACTTCTGCAGCTCATCACTGGCTAGTCATTAGTAGGACGAAAATACAAACTTAAGCCATTTAGTTTTACAAGGAAAGAGATGCGCAGTTGTTTGCATATCTGAAAGTGAGTTCTCTGGGTGAGCCAAGGCAGCGTTCCCCAACCTTACATCTTACAACTTTCTCCAATGGTTACCTGGATCCCGAAGACTCTGATCTTAAACCAGTATTAATTGACTGAAGATGACTCACATTCAGAAGTTTCTGCACATGTAGAAGTGCTCTTTTCTGCCTACAATCTAAAGGAACATTTCTTTTCTTATCCACACCAGTTTTATGCCGAAATAATCAAGTTCACTGACTTCTGTGAAATTGTTCACAACTCTCAAATAGCCTGACAGCTTCACTCAACTGTTTTCTTCTCCTCAGTTCTAAGTTCTGTAACTATGTATAGGGCAACCTCTCTCAAACAGACAAGAAGGGTAAAGGAAAAAAAGAGACAGAACGGAAGAAAGACTTAATTGTTATATTAAAGTTTCTAGTAATTGTGTGAAACTTAACAGAAACTAAACAAAGAGAGTGTTCATATTAAAGGGAGGGAGTATAAGGAATTTCATACAGCCTACCCAAGGTAACCCTGCTTGAATGATTTTTTTTTTTCCTTCAGAGTTAAACGTATTCATTTCAGAGTACGTCAGAGTAACAGTGTATTGTCAGCATTTTAACATATCATACCTTGTTAATTTGAAATGGCATTTCCGCTGTTCTCTCTTTGTTGAACTGCTTTTCCCAGTTGCCTTTGAAATAGATGGCATTCACCAACACAAGTTTGGTCAGTGAATTGAGAATCCCCTCCGCCAACAGGTTCTGAATTTTACCTTTACGATACATAGAAAAAAAAAAAACAATTTTTAACAGTGACATGTATCTAATTATTATCTAATATAGTATCTACTCTGTAATTAATATACAACAGATAAGAGAATTACATACCAAACAGAGCAAGAGCTCAATGTTTGTTTCTTTTTAATTGACAGTATTATACCTTGAAATAGCTGTTTACCCAAGCCCTGGCTGCCATTCAATACAACAGGGCATTCTGCAAAACACTCACCTTCAGTCCTTTCCTCTACCCAGCCATTTATTTGTTTTCTGGAATCCTCCCAAGCATGCATGAAGTCAGTCTGTTCTAGTCCAGCATGGTAGAATTTCTGACTCGACTCTATAAATGACTAACATGGACATTCAGAACAGCTTTTCAGCAACATATTTTACTCTCATTCAGCCACAGATGATTCTTAAATACACCAAGAAAATCTGTCTGCTTTCCTCCCCCAGCTTCATATAGAGCTGTTAAAGTTTTGTCTGACACATTCCTATTAGGTTTTATACCACCTATTTGAGCTAGGAATTGTCCACTGTATGTTATTAAGTCAAATGGCTTGTTTACTATGCTAGAAAGTTCTACATAACTTAATTGAGAAATGATGTGGCTAGTTTTGGGGGTTTTTTGCTTTAGTAAGAGAACATATGATTTTGTAAGCTTCTCTCTACATAAATTCTGTTGTTAAGCCTCCCAGACTAATAGAAAACTTTTAGTTCAGAGGGGAAACTGATTCTTCTTAGAGAGGAAAAAATATACATTCTCTCTGATTTAATACAGTTAGATCTTTATTACACAGGTGCAAAGTTTTAGAGTACAATCCACGTAATTTTTATCTTACTAGACAAATGAAACACTAGCGTTCTTTGTAAAAAGAATCACAGTAAATCACTCCCAGGGGAAGAAAAAAAGAAAAAAAAAAAGAGCCTTACATCTTCTTGCTTCTAGGGAAGCATCTAAAGGAACATGTATAACACAATACCTATTATCCTTATTTAGATCTTCTGATAAGGAAAATCTTAGAAGTCATGTACTCCTCTCAGTATGTTCTCTGAATGACTTACATAACAGGAGAACTACAAAATACTGCCCATGCTGAAGAACAATAGCAATTCTTTTTTATCATATTTACACATGATCAAGCGAAAAGAGATATGTCAACCATTTGTTCCATAGCCAAAAATATGAATGGGTCATGGAACCCTGACGATTTGGAGTCTGATGGATTTTATTGTGCTTTGCACCAGTTGTGCATTCAGATCGCAGGCTATCTAAAAGGAGCTTCTCCACCAAGTTCAGATACCGGGCTTTGGCACAATCTATCACATTGGTAGGTCTCAGCCTAGAAAATTTGGAGAGTAAAACCAAAGTCTGTCTTTGGCCTCCAAAGGAAATAGGTAGCAAGTACAACATACTAAAAAAGCCACAAACTTAATGGTTACTTACTGAGAGAAACTCAAATGTCTTTTCTCCATAAAGTCGATTAGCAGTTCTCAGTATATATTTGGTGTTCGGATCGTTAATTTCAGATAGAAGTGATTGATATCCATTGTGAGCATCCTCAGCTTTGTTCAGAGAAAGCACCTGTAGAAAGACAAACATCCTCAGCAGAGTCCATGCCTTCTCTAAACACACTTGCTTCAGCACAATTATTTTTTTTTTTAAATGACTTTTGGGTTTAAAAACTGTGACTTGAAGCCAAAAGATTTTTCATCACACCTCCCATCTGGAGCTTATCATGAAAATCATGTATAATGCCCCCAGCTGGATGTTGTACAAGCAATAAATCAGGGTTCAGATGAGTCAGCAGTATTTAGTTTCCTTCACTCCAGCCCAGCATTAGAGGATCACAGCATGGTTGAGGTTGGAAGGGACCTCTGGAGGTCATCTGGTACAACCCCCCTGCTCAAGCAGGGCCATCTACAGCTGGTAGCCCAGGACTATATCCAGATGGATTTTGAATATCTCCAAGTATGGCAATAATATAATATAATTTTGGAGAAACTTTTATAGATTTAAATGAAAACAAAAATATGTGTTTATACTCCTCTTCCACTTTGCAAAAGAGGCAAACATAATAACAAAAAATGACTGATTATGCATTTAATACTGTCAATTGCATATGTAAAAAATATGCCAAGTGGTATTTGCCACCTGAGCAAGTTAAAAAAAAATTAAACCAAGGTACAGCTACCATTTTAACATGCATACAGGGTGGATTTTTAGGTTGGTTTTTTTTTTTTTTTTTAATGTGCCTGGCTACAGCCCAGAGAACATAGAAGAAAATATTTTATGTAGCTAAAGATTCATCAGACCTACAAAAAAAATCCTAGGTACCTCTTAATGACATATGGAAGGAAGATCTCTGTCTCAAAAAAACAAAACCACAAAAAACCACACAACAAAACCCAGGAACCTCTTAATTTCATACTGAAGGAAGCTCCCCCTATAAAAACAGGTACCGCTTACATACATACCAAAGGAAAACCTCTGCTCTCTGAGACCAGAATGACAATAGTAGTTTAGCATAAAAGTGTAGGTCACAGACATAATACAGATTTGTTGTTCATATGGTCCCAAATTCAATACACTAAGTTTATTTAGACATACCTTTGCTATTTGGACCTCAGTGTTACATTTTGAACCCAGCAAAATCATAGACAAAGCAGAAGAAATACTAAAAGGAGAAAAGAATAGATTCTGCCCGCTTTTGTTCTTGCACAGCTTTCTTAAGAGGTCAAGTGCAAAAGTGGTATTTGCTGTACAGAGGCTATCCATGGTTCAGAGCCTGGTAGATAAAACACAAAACAAGAACAGCTCAAATTGATTTGAATACAAACTGACATGTTATTTCTGTCTTTTACATTTCCCAGTATGAGCTATGCAGCAAGTGTCATAATTAGTCTGGAAAATCATCAACTCACTGAAAAAGTGATTTGGTGGAACAAGCACGTTAAATCCCATACTAGGCACTTGAGTCATTCTAGGGATTTATTGTTTGCTTTTCTATTCCAATCCCATACCTTTAACAGAGACAGCAGTTCCCACTGGTGTCATTAGACTCTTCACTGGTTAAGTACTATTACATCTTTTGAGATTATCATATACAACAGTATTTTGTTCAGGATTTATTAAAACAAGTCTCTTTTGACTTCACAAAGACAATTATTTGCCGTTATAGGAAAACCAAAGCAAAAAGTTAGGCATCAGAATGGCAGAATTATAAACTCTTACCTTCTCTAAGTCTATATATCGTCAGTATTACCTTCAGGTTACTTGTATGTGTGCACACTGTGTTTTAAACCTAACAGCCAGTCTGGTAGAAGTCAGCAGAATGACTTGACCTACGAGATTAAAAAAGAAAAGAAAAAAAGTTATTTGGTCAGCATGACAGATTACTGTAATTTCCTGCTGTAGTACAAAGAAAAATCAAAGTCCATTTCAGTTACGTTTTATTGCCTGCAACACTGAAACACACGCTATAAAAAAAATCTGCTTATGGATAACTTCATGCTACTTTATTTGCACTTCAACATGTGTAACCTGATGCCTGTCATACTCTACATACATTAGCTGTGTAGGTAGTTAACTAACCCGAGATTAAGCTTATAAAAGGAGCAATAAATACTAGAATGTTGAGTTAACTACAGATAACTATCACCGGACATCGTAAAGTATCAGCCGGTAGTAAAGGTTTCTGTGTTTTGTTTTTACCTTAAGGCAGTGCCTAGTGTTGATATGTTGATACAAAATACAAAACCAACCCCTCATTCATATTACTAATTCATTATCTCAAACAAATAGGTGGAAAGAACAAGTTTCTGCATGCATGATTTTCCACCTAAGAAAGTTTCTTGCTAGTAGCTTTGCAATAAACAGTAGCAACTTCTCTCCCATTTCTCTTCTCCCATAACTGAAAGAAGAAAAAAAAAAAAAAAAGGCAAGCTTAGAAACAATCCTCCAATCCTGTCTGAAACGAGTAATTTAACTACATGTACTTTACAGCTTAAGTAGGAGGCACTTAGTATTTTTAGTTCATGTTGGTTACAATGAAGACCAGAATTTTCCTACTGTCCCGATACCTGTCAGATTGCTAGCAATAAGTTTTTTTGGACCTGGAGGTCAAAACACCCAGGAATAGTGACAGCAGCAAGCAGTATTATCTAGAAAGTTTTTGCAGGACTTCCATGACAGACAAAAATTTACAGACAAAAGGACGGAATTCACACTATTTGCCTACCTGAAAATCAGTGCATTTAACCAAATTGTAAGTAATATTTCAACAGATGGGACACAAGGCTAGGAGTTTTATCTCTACAGTTATCCATGCTTTCTCCGCAGCTCATGAATAGCAATGTAACTACCGATATCCTTCTCATCAGAGTGGTTTTGGAGACAATACAGAATGACTGCACTTTAAGGAACAAAAAACATGTGATACAAGCACGTATTTGTCAGTCGATTATAAACTGTTTACTGCAAAACCCTCAATGATCAGACAGTTTGCCCACAGTAACTCATTCCTCACTCTGGTCTCCCTGTGGGCTCTGCAAGTCAGTGGTGAGGCACTTGTGCAGAGGTTTCTGGATGCCCTGACCCTATATATTCCTACTACTATGAATTTGAAGCAGATATTCTCAGTAGTAAACACCTATGCTTTAGGACAGTCTTTATGGACAGAAAGGCTAGATCTAGATTAAGGAGCAGATACACACTGCACAGTGTCCCTCCCAACTACCAGTTTTGCTATGGGGGAACCTGGCCAGAGCAGGGTGCAGCTGTACTCCAGTCTGCGGCCCAAGAGACACATCCCACCAACACTGTGACATGGATTAGCGCCTGGTATATGCAGATACCTCCCACCTCGCCTCAGCTGCCTCAGAGGAGTCACAAGCCAACTGTTTGAAACACAGCCAGAAGGGGAACTCTGGGTGATGAACATCAGGCAGTATCATCTCCACAGAGGAAGCTGCGCCTGTGGCACAGATGTCCCATTTCCCATCCCCTGAACCAAAGCATACTTTCTTGAGGGAAAGGGGCATCATTTCTTGGGGGTACTGGTGGATGAAAAGCTGGACATGAGCCAGCAATGTGCGCTCACAGCCCAGAAGGCCAATCATATCCTGGGCTGCATCCAAAGAAGCGCGGCCAGCAGGTCGAGGGAGGTGATTCTGCCCCTCTACTCTGCTCTGGTGAGACCCCACCTGCAGTACTGCGTCCAGCTCTGGAGCCCTCAGCATAAGAAAGACACGGACCTGTTGGAGCAGGTCCAGAAGAGGGTCACAAAAATGATCAGGGGGATGGAACACCTCTCCTATGAAGAAAGGCTGAGAGAGTTGGGGTTGTTCAGCCTAGAGAAGAGAAGGTTTCGGGGAGACCTTCTTGCAGCCTATCAGTACTTCAAGGGGGCTTATAAAAAAGATGGCGGCAGACTTTTTAGCAGGGCCTGTTCCGACAGGACAAGGGGGAATGGCTTTAAACTAAAGAGGGTAGATTTAGACTAGATATAAGGAAGAATAAGGATATTTTTTACGCTGAGGGTGGTGAAACACTGGCACAGGTTGCCCAGGGAGGTGGTGGATGCCCCATCCCTGGAAACGTTCAAGGTCAGGTTGGACGGGGCTCTGAGCAACCTGATGTAGTTGAAGATGTCCCTGCCCACGGTAGGAGGGTTGGACTAGCTGATCTTTAGAGGTCTCTTCCAACCCAAACTATTCTATGATTCTATGATTTAGGATTTGGAGAGTTGGGAGTGACGTTAGAACACTTGCAGCGCAAGATCTCTGACAATGCCAAGTAACAGCTCCCCACTTCACACCTCTCCAGGGGCAGGCGGTGGGACGCGGGGGATGAGGGAGCCCTTTGACTGCCCACCACCACCGCTGGCTCTCGGCCCCATGTGCCTCAGCAGAAGCGGAGAGGGGCAGGGAGGAGTCCCGAAGACCTGACGCTGTCCCAGTATGCTCAAGCACGAGAAGGCAAGGGCTTGGCACTCGCCAGGACGTAGGCTGGGGAATAGGAAAGGAGTGGAAAGACCCACCTCCACCCCCGCACTGGACTTGGCACCATGAGACACGTTAAAACTCAACATTTCCGCAGTGCCCCCATCACTCCTACACATAAAAAGCATCCCCTCCACCCCGCTGCGACTCCAGCTGACAAGAAGCAGAAACCACGTCACGAAAGAGAAAAAAAATAATAAAAGCAACGCCATGCAGCCTCTGCTTCTTTAAAAAAACACAAGCGCAAGCTTCCCGTAGGAAACGACATCTGCAGGACAGCGGATCCGCCGCACTCACCTCACCGGGCGCTGCGCTCCCCTCCTACCGGCGCGCTTCCTTTTCCCTTCCTTTCCTTTCCTTTCCTTTCCTTTCCCCGGAAGCATTGCCGAGCTGAGGGAAGGGGCGGGAGCTCAGCCCGTCCTCAACCGCGCCCGGGGTTTAGCCGGCGGCCCGCAGCGCTTCCCCTTCGCGGCGGCCAACGGCCATTTGGCTGTCGCGGCGGGGATACGCCACAGCCCCCCCGACAAAATGGCCGCTGCCCACCGCTGCGGAGAGCCCTAAGAGCTTCCCTCAGTCCCCCCTTCATACCTCCGCGGACCTCGCCCCGCCACAGCCGGTGATTTTCCACCCCTGCGTCCCTCTCGTGGCAGAGCTGACAGAAAGCACCACCGGTCCATGAGGGGTTATTATTAAGTATTTTTGAAGCGGGGGTTCTTTTGAAGGAAAGTGAGGTATTGCAGTAGCCAGAGACCGTAAGGGCCTGGCCCCTCCTCACATGCCTGAGGGTCTGAGTGAGTCAAATAGCCCTCACAGAGGTGTATTTTTTAATTTTTTTTTTTTTTAAGGAAACAGTAGAGTGACATGAAGCCAGTTGAGGTGAAATAGGGAACTGATGAAGACTTACAGCTGGGATGTGGAAGGCAGGCAAGGGAATGGCTACAGGCCTTGGGTAGGGAGGGTCTGCCTTCATTTGTAATGCAAAGACCTAATGAAGGGCTAAACAGGAGAAGGGTCTAACTGCTGTGGGGTGGGCATAAGTGCTAAGACCACATCTAAATCAGTGTCTCTAGTCATGAGGGTGAGGAGAGGGCCTGTGTTAGCATACATTTGTACACAGTGCTGTGAGGGGAAGGGATAGAAATGCCGTAGCTAATAGTGGTTAGAGGACAGAGCTACCCTTGATGGCCTGGTCTGAATGGCAACCAGGATTGCTCTGTGGATGCAAGGCATCGTGCATTCCTCGCTGCCATGGTTGTCCCTTTCGGGGTAGGAGAGAAGCACAGGAGGAGCTGTGCCTCAGGCCGTGGGGGGTGTGGTCTGATGGAGGAAGGGTTCGGGTCCCACTCCCCCCAGTTGCAGCAGGAGTTTCACGTTTTGATATTTGTCTTTGAGCTGGCAAGCAAGCATCTCCTGCTTTGCAGGGCAAGGAGTAACTCTGACTAGGGTGAGCAGAGTCTGCCAAAGAAGAGGGTGGTTTGTGATTTGTTGTGTCTGATGAAGAAGAGAAAGGGGTGGTCAGCTTTAAAAGTCATCGTTGGTGTTTTTGATCTCAGCACCAGGACACCTGTGGCAGCTGCTGCCTCAGTACCTTCTTCATTGACCTCCACAAAAGCTTTGTGAATAACTTTTGAGATGAAAAGATCCTTCTTCACTGACAACCCTGTAAAATCAGCCTGAACTGGGTCAAAAGCATTTTGTATTCCCATGCTGCTCAAAGTGGATTTAAGGTCATAATTCTCTTCCAGCTTCAACTTGGGCAGGTATAGATCCACTTCAGCTTTCATCATATTGTCTGATTTGGTCCATTCAACCAATTTCTCATAGGTCAGCTCTCTTTCCACCTGCCATGAGTTGAGGAAGAAAATAGTTGGAATGCGAAGGACAGAGACAAGACATGCACACACCAGTGTCTTAACGCTCATCAAGAACATGTAAAACAAAGCCCAGCTACCAGCAGTGGGTACAGCTGGAATGTGCGCCATATTCATAGGGCATGATCCTGCAAAGTGCCAAGTGACTTACACTCCTATTTATTTTATTGAAGGTGGTGAGGTATAGGCCTGAACCCTAAGAGTATTTTTTTTTTTTCTGGTGTGAAGAATACTGCTTTTTTGCAATGTGTGACTCATGATGATATTAATAGGTGCTTGCTATGTGTGTATATGGATAACTTTTCTCTTAGTAGTGGTAAATAAGTGGAACACGTGGGACCTTAGGTACAAATAAAAAGATGATTGCTCTGATCTGTTTAGAATCTGAAACTGATCCTGGTGTGATCATGAGTAGCTGTTGATACCTTCTGGGTCAGGGTAGTAAGCGCTTAGTTTGAGAAACCTCACCACAAAATATTAGGTGCAAATCCGGACTGCAAATGACATAAAAATGAATTAATACAGCCCTCAGGAGAAGATAACTCTAGGGCATGGTGATTCAGATTTGGTCCTTGCTTTCCTTGTGCTATTCTGGCAATAGAAAAGAGGACACAAAATAGGCTAAGACAGTTGTGTGGACATAGTTTTTAGATGTATCCCTAAGTAAAATACTATGTTTGCAATGTTATCAGATGCCCTGAATCCTAAGCTGAGAAATCATGGTGTTACAGTTTATGAAACAAAGTATGCATGCATCAGAACCTATTCTACCGTGATTTTGAAGCTCGTTTTTCCTCACTCTTTTCATCTGTTTCTGTTACTGTCTCATAGTGTATGTGAGGCAACAGTAGGTCAGTGTTACCAGCTCCAGACCAGTAGTGTTATCATTGATGTCATCTGGTAGGAGAATGAACATGCTGAGTTCGTTTTCCACATATGGCAGCTCAATGATTTTGAATTTCATGGTTGTTTCATGGCGTATCAAAAATGTATCTCTCAGAAACATCATCTGTACTGGTTTAGTCTTGGTCTGTGAAAAAATTCAGACATAAAAAATAGTGTTACTTCATTCCTTAAGATGGATGATAAAGATTACTTGCTTCATTGAACTGAAAGCAAAAATGTGTAAACAAGTACAAGACTCAGCAGCATTTGGATAGTCAGTGCTCTTTCCTTTGGACAGTATCACACATGCCCCCTTTTCAAAGTCATTGGGATCTTTACAAAAAATCGGCATAGACACATACATACGGTATCTACCTGCTAACTGAATCACATGTAATATATTTCTCATTTTAAAATAAAGGAGTTAGTTTTGATAAGCAAGTAACTTAAGTTACTATGAGTGTTTCATGTTTTCTGCCAAATAGTAAATTTTTGGAGTGAGGACCTTGAGTGGGGGGAAAATACGTTGACTTTCTTCCCCTGAATGCCATCAGCTCTTTTGCCTATTTTATACTTCCAGGCAACACTGATTATCTCACTTTGCCTCTGAACCATATTTTCTGTGGCCTGTGCTGGCTTTTCCCCTTACCCAAACCATAGAGGACCAGATTACCAAATGAAATTGGGTTACCCAATAGTCTTTTGAATTCCTACGCTGTATTATGTTCACAGAGCTTTTACTAATATATCCATGTCCTGGTTTCGGCTGGGATTGAGTTACTTTTCGTCCTAGTAGCTGGCGTAGTGCTGTGTTTTGGATTTAGCATGAGAATAATGTGATAACACACTGATGTTTTAGTTGTTGCTAAGCAGTGTTTATACTAAGTCAAGGTCTTTTCAGCTTCTCATACTCTGCCAGTGAGAAGGTGCACAAGAAGTTGGGAGGGAGCATAGCCAGGACAGCTGATCCAAAGTGGCCAAAGGGATATTCCATGCCATGTGATGTCATGCTCAGTACATAAACTGGGGGGAGTTGGCTGGGGAGCAGTGATCGCTGCTCGGGAACTGGCTGGGCGTCGGTCAGCGGGCGGTGAGTGGTTGCATCACTTGTTTTTCCTGGGTTTTGTTTCTCTCTCTCTTTTTGTTGTTTTCATTACAATTTCTTATTATTTTTATTTTATTTTATTTTATTTTATTTTATTTTTATCATTAAACTTCTTATCTTGACCCACGAGTTTTCTCACTTTTGCTCTTCTGATTCTCTCCCCCATTACCGGGGGGGGTGAGCGAGTGGCTGTGTGGGGCTTGGTTGCTGACTGGGGTTAAACCACGACAATCCACTCTCTCCTTTACATTTGAGTGCAAAAGTTTATCTGTTTGCAGGCTTTGTATCAGGTACCCTCTGAATTAAACCCTCTCTGTGCACCAATATGTATTATGTTTACATGGCAAGGTTTTGGTAGCAGGGAGGCTGCAGGGATGGCTTCTCTGAGGAGACATCAGAAGTCACTTCCATGTCAGGCAGAGCCAGTTCCAGCCAGCTCCAAGAGGGACCCACCACTGGCCAAAGCTGAGCCAGTCAGTGACGTTGGTAGCGTCTCTGTGGTAACATATTTAAGAAAGGGTAAAAACTGCTGCACAACAGCAGCTGGGAGAGAGGAGTGAGAACATGTGAAAGAAACAACTCTGCAGACACCCAGGTCAGTGAAGAAGGAGGGGCAGGAGGTGCTCCAGGCGCCGGAGCAGAGATTCCCCTGCATCCTGTGGTGAAGACCATGGCAGTGCAGATATCCACCCTGCAGCCCATCGAGGATCCCATGCTGGAACAGATGGATGAGCCCTGAAGGAGGCTGCAACCCATGGAGAGCCCATGCTGCAGCATGCTCCTGGCAGGACCTGTGACCCCGTGGGGGACCCACACTGGAGCAGTCCATTCCTGAAGGACTGCACCCCATGGTAAGGGTCCATGCTGGAGCAGTTCTTGAAGAAGCCCTTGGGAAGGACCCACATTGGACATGAAGGACTGTATCTTGTGGGTGGGACCCCACACTGGAGCAGGGAAAAAGTGTGAGGAGGAAGGAGCAGCAGAGACAAAGCATTATGAACTCACCGCAACCCCAGTTCCTCATCCCCCTGCACTGCTTTGGGGGATAGGTAGAAGAGTTGGAAGTAAAGTTAAGCCTGGGAAGAAGGGAGGGGCGGAGGGAAAGTGTTTTATATTTGGTCTTATTTCTCATTATCCTACTCTGATTAATTGGCAATAAATTAAATAAGTTTCCCTAAGTCGAGTCTGTTTTGCCCATGATGGTAATTGGTAAATGATCTCCCTGTCCTTATCTTGACCCATGAGTTTTTAATCCGATTTTTCTTCCCCTGTCTTGTTGAGAAGGGGGAGTGATAGAGCAGCTTGGTGGGCACCTGGCAGCCAGCCAAGGTCAGCCCACCAGAACAACCGTGTACCATGACGGATCCTAAAACCGCACATGTAGTGTAGTAGGTTTCGGATACACAGTCACATCATTGACACAATCGCTTCCCATTGCCTGGCATGCAAAAGGTATTTGCATTCATAATCTATATCAAACAAGATACATGCTCCCGTT